AATGGCTATTTGAAAAAAGCAGCTCAGATAGAGAAAGAGTTGTGTGAGGGAAGGTCGTCAGAGAAAAGATAAAAATAATATTTCGATTAAATGATGAAGAAAAACAGTATAATTTAAGCCCTATGTAGATTTCCAGAGAAATAATTAAGAAAACTGGGAATGTCAAATTAGTGAAAGGGTTGAGGGATTGAAACCTGCAGGTAAGTTGCAAAAATGAAGAGCAAAAAAACCAAGCTTTGGATGTTGAGTGCTTAGGGAAAAGTGAGGTAATTGATATAAAAGTTAAAGAGAATAAAACAGTGAAGGGAGTAATAGTAGGAATATCCAAGAGTTTTGGATCGATTAGAAATTGTGATTATTGGAGGCCAGGTTAACAAGATACAGAGACTGTATAAAAACATACAAGGGTAAAGGATGGAAAGCACATCACTGCTGATGGAGTTCTACCAGAAAGAGTCAAAATAGGTTTCATGAGTTTCCCAGTTAGACCATTCATTCCACCTCCGCTCAGGTGTCAGCGCTTCAGACACCTGCAGCAGTGCCAGCAGTTTGCAAGGAAGGGCAAAAGTGTTCAAAATGCGAAGAAGAACACAAAATCGAGAAGTGCAGAGAACAACCTGGAGAAAGGTGCTGAAACTGTGGAGGCCGGCACAGAGTTAACTACGGAGGATGTGAGGTGAGAAAGAAAGCAGTGGAAATACAACAGGTTTAAACAACAAAGAAATATAAGCTATGCAGAAGCAGTGAAGAGAGTCCAAGGATACAGGACAGGAGAAAGGAATCAAGCACAGAATCAGGTAAAAAAGCAAATTAAAGCAGAAAGAGAAAAAAACTTAATTCGACGCTATTCATAGCATATGTCATTGACTGTTCAGACCAAGCCAAGCATAAGAATGTGAAAACCAGGATCATTGCGAGAAAAGAAGACTCAAAGAAGTCAGTTGGGAAAACATAGTTACAAGGTTGGAGATTGAGGGAAGACCAGGAGCATCAGTTATTTTTTTTCTTCGTGTTAATGATAAAAATAATTAAAGGTGTTATGGATAGTGTTTTAATGAATATGTGAATAGGGTAGAACATTTAATGCAATTGTTTAAAATAAGGGACTGTAGGAGGATTTAGTTCATTCATTATTCAGAATAAAACATAAAAGTTTAGGATATTGTTAATAATAAATAGTGATTATATTAGATAAATATAGAGGATATTGGGTTATTATGTTTTGATTTATTTATGTATTTCAGACATACAAGTATATAATAAAGACAGTATATGTCCATATAACATAAA